TATGTTGCAAGCATCCTAATTTGAAAATAAAAACATGTAGATTAACTTGGGAAACATGAGATCATTGTGTATTATTGTACAAAAAGTTTTAGTGCACGTGTTCCAAAAATGAAAATGGCTTTAGCATAAGGCTTACATGATGATGGACTACAAAAAGTTAAAACCTTGGGCTACACGTAAAAGCTCAGCAAGATGGGATAATCGAAGATGCTTTTCCCTGATCAATTAGATGGTCATGAATAATGTCTGGATTCAAGAAAAAAGAGAATTAAAGTCATGTTCAACCAAAGAGTGTCTGATTGAAATTGTCAGTCGGGGTGAACTGTTGGTGATTTTTATGCTCAGGATTTAACTTAATTACAAGGCGGATGACAAAAGAGAGTTCTCATTTGAAAAAAAATATACTAATATTGCATCATTGCACACATTTTAGGAATAAATAGGATCATGGCATTCATAAAATGCATGATGATGATAAATGCAATTGAGTACTTATAGGTTTTCCAAAACGAAAAATTGAAGATGTCGAGACCTAATATAAAAGTAACCAATTCAAAGTCCCAAAAAGGGAAAGGTTCAAATGACACTCAAGTCGAAGAAGATTACCAAGGATTATCTTGAATTCCAAAACTTTTAGGTATGATGTTTTTAAATTCTAAAACATATACTAACAAGTGGTAACACTTAATTCTTATATTTGATCTTCCCTGAAGAAACAGTGGAACAAGTCTACCTCGATTCAATATTTCCCGAAGAATAGTGGAATGAATCGACATTTCTAAATCTGATTTTCCTTGAATAAGCAGCGAAAAAATCCCCCTTTTCTCCAGATTTGATTTTCCCTGAGGAACAGTGGAACAAATCTGCCTCGATTCAATATTCCCTGAAGAACAGTAGAGTGAATCAACATTTCTAGATCTGATTTACCCTGAAGAAGCAGTGGAGTAGATCCTTTTTCAAATTTCATCTTCGAAAATCTCTCTTGAGATATTGTTCATTTCCACTCTCACTCAAGACTATATCAGATTTCAAAGCACATAATAGACCGGATGAAAACTTATTGTCTCTTCATATTTGTCGTGTTCTTGTTAACACTAGAATGGGCAAAGAGGGGCAACTGTCGACACCCGTTTCGTTCGGATACCATTATTATTATTATTATTATTATTATTATTATTTTATTAATTTTCAAGTTACAACCTGCCTAGCAAGCCCATACCCGAAGCCCAACATCAATCAGCCCAAACAGTGAGCCCAACAGAACCAAGCCCGAACACCAACCCAACATAAATAAGCAACTAGGGTTTTAAACCCTAGTTTCCAGCCACCATCGCTTACACCGGGATCTGCTCTATTGCCACCAATTTGGGCTATGGCCATTATCAACACCTGTCAAACCCATTGTCAGTACCCATCAAACCAGCAAACCGAGCCAAAACAAACAACAAAACAAAAAAAAAAACGAAATCATTTCCCTTACCTTTCAACCCTCACCCATGACTCAGCTGAACTCGTGACCTCCATCTTCATCATCACCTCAATCAATCATTCATCTGCCAGTCACTTTTGTTGCACCAGTCCCCTACCACCGTCATCTCCACCAACCACACTCCAGTCACTGTTGCTGCTCCAACACGCTACCACCACATAGATTTTTTATTTTGCTTTTATATATGTAATAAGGGATATAAAACCCCGAACAGAGGGATATAGAAGGGTATCTTCCCCCAAAAAAAGAGGTTAGCAAGGAATAAAAAATCAGAGGTTTTTTAGTATTTCGAAGGTATCTTTTTTCTAATTTTCATTTATGTTTTTGTGTGTGTGCATGTGTGTCGATTCAAGAAAAATAGGGATAAGAGAGTTAGATTTGTTTACCTGAGTTTTTAGGGGTCTTCGTCGGAGAGGTCAGTGTCAAGAAGGAGAGCCGAGAGTCTCATTTAGCTTTTAAAGGTCTTGCATGTGGTTTTAAAGGCCCGATGGGAGAGTTAGAACACAAGTGGTGACCAATCGTCACCTTAAAGTCGTCGGAGATAGGGAACTCAAAAGGTTTAAGGTTGTTTTGGGAGGTTTAAAGGGTTTATTTTGTAGTTTTTGCTTTGGATCTAGGCTTAAGAGGGTAGATCAAAGTGAAAGATGTCATTTTAGGTTAGGTTTAGGGGTTTTGACAACCATGTGTGGCGGTCGAAACGACGATCAGAAGGAAACCAAACGAGGAAGAAAGGGAAGAGTTAAGAGAGTTTGAGATTTTTTAGGTTTCAGTTAAAAATGAAATAAAAGTAACAGAAAAGTAGGTGTTATAGGAAAACATTAGAGTAAAATCACACATAGGTTCCCCTAAGTTAGCAGTGTTTTTGCATATTGGTCACCTACGAGGACCGAAGTTGCTATTTACCCTTTTCATGCATATTATATTTTTTTGGGATATTTTATGTTTGGTCCCCCTAATTTAGTTGTGTTTTTGCATGTTGGTGACCTGCAAGGACCGAAGTTGCTATTTACCCATTTTCATGCCTGTTATGTATTTGTTTTGGAATATTTGCTGTTTAACCCCTTATTTAGGCATATTTTTGCATTTTGGTCATGTATAGTGATTATTTAATTTTATTTTTAATATTTATGGATTGATTTAGTAATTTACACATTTTCTTTAAAAGTGTGTTTTAGGCTTTAAAAAAGGAATATTTATTAAATAGTCCCTGTAGTTTTAACATGTTTTATATTTCAATCTCTGATCTATTTTTTATTTAATTTAACCATGCAATTTTATTTTATTTTAATTTGGTCTCTATATCTTATTTATTTTTATTTATTACAATTTTGGCGCTTAATGTTAAAAATGTTCATTTTGGTCACTTTTCACTTTATTTTATTTTAATTTTTGACATGATGATTTATTTGTTTACATTCTAGTCCTCTTTGCGTTTTGTTTTGTTTTAATTTTTGCATGTTGCTTTTATGTTATTTTATTTTTTAGTCACTAATTGGGTTTGTTCTCTATTTTAAATTAATTTGCATGATACCCTCATAAGCATTCTTGACTCGAATCAAAATTATTTGACTAAGGGCAATATTCGTTCATTTTAAGATTGTCGTAAAGTGATTGTTTTAACGTATAAGAAAGTTACTTTCGATAATTTTAAAATGAAAATCTATCCCATTAAGTGACATGAATTAAATTGAATCTATTTTAAAATTTGGGGATTGAGAAAAAGATCATGTTCTTTTAATTAAGTTCACCGATAAAATACGGTTAGATCGAATCTAAGGTCTCGTCTCGATGTATTTAAATAATTGAACATTCTTATTCTCATTAAAGGTTGGAAAAATAATTAATTAATAGTACTTGCTTGATGTATGCTTTAAATTTGTTTTATTTTGCATGTATTTTTCAATGGGATTTCAAAATAATAACATTCTAATTAATATTGAATTTTAGGACTAAATAATGATATATCTTCATTTCGATTGGAGTGATAAACGATTGCTTTAAGGCATGAGAGATCATTCATTCTCGATTGGAAACAATTAGATATTATCGTTTTCTCTCTTAAAATTCAATGAATATTTTTATAAAAAAATAGGTGTTAGAGTTATTTTGTTTTATTATTACTTATACGCTTAATTTTTTTGGGATTAATAACAAATGTTAGAGAGAAATAGTAATATTTCTTTATTTTGATTGGAGTGAGAAATGACTATTTTAAGGCGTGAGAGGTCGTTTCTTCTTGATAGAAAATAATTAAATATTTTCCTTTTCCTTCCTAAAATTCAAAGAGAGTTTTATTGTTATCTTAAATTTATTTTTTATTTGTGCTTTTAAATTTGGAATTAATAGTGAATTTGGGGATGGAATTGTAATATTCTTTTATTTCGATTGGAGTAAGAATCGACTGCTTTAAGGCATGAGAGATTGATTCTTCTCGATAGGAAATAATTAAATATTATTGTGTTTCGTCCTAAAATTCAAAGAATTTTATTTGTATGGGATCTTAAATTAAATTTAACTTGAACTCGTGAATTTCATTACAAACACAACTAATTAATTGACTAGGTACCGATTTAGCGTGATGTGGGGGTGATAATCCTTCCCCGCGCATAACCGACTCCTGAACTCAAATTTTGGTAATGCATGCCGCAAATTTGTTGTTATAATTAAAATTAATATTTTTTAAATAACAAATACGTTTTGGGTGCCCAATCACACCCTAATCAAATATTGGTGGCGACTCATCGAATCATGTTTTATTATTAATTGGTTACTAAATTATTCGAGACGTAATCTTTAAAAAATCAGATTTTAAAAATCAAATTTAGGTATTAGAAGCATAATTATAACGACCATCCACTGCACCTCGCCTTATTTGGTCAACACACTCACCTTTTATTTAAGTAGAATTTGGTAGTCTATATATATATATATATATATATATATATATATATATATTAATCCGTAATTGACAATTACCGATTAATTTGCCAAATTATGCATGAATTGAACGTCTCTACATACATATATTAAACAATATCATGTTGTATGATGGTTATAATTATATATTAACTTCTTATTACATGGACTAAACGATTTCAATGATGAAAGGATTATTGTTATTTCTTAAGATTTTATATTCGAGCACCGCTTATATAAAGATATGAACATTCATTATCAAATAATTAAAAATATATATTATATTATATTTACTCTAAATTTATATTAAAAAATTCCTAAATTTGGCACCGAGATTAGCCTTAGTACAACGCAAGTGTCCATTACTACATCGTATTCACTGATCAAGTTGAGGGAATTAAAAGTACGTTAATGATAAAGGTAAACTACAAATTTAATATCTTAATTATCATTTTTGTTATGTTTTAGTCATTTAATTATTTTTTATTTTAAAATCATACTAAAATTTACGTTTTTATTTTATTTTAATTACAAACTATTAAAAATTTAACATTAATACTGGCGTGTCACTATAAAATAAAATCATATCATCTTTAAAAAAAGACTTCAACTTTTATAATTTCATTAAAAAAAAAAGTACCCCTAACAATTACGTACACATACATATAAACTGCAAAAAGCAGATATTTATTCCCTTATAATCTGTTAAAATTAATTCTACGATACCATCTAAGCATTAGATGTGAAGTTGAAGTTGGCACAAGTAGTTCGCCTACCCAACAGTGTAGAGCTGAACCCCAGTCTTGAAGTTGCTAAATCGAACTGAACAAGATTGTCCTCCAACTGGTACCCTCCGATAACAATTGAGGTCTGTGGGTTTGCGCCACCATTAACGAATCCAAGGCACAACACATCACTGTTAACCTCCACCATCGAGTTCGCCCCAAAAATCCTCCAGAAAACGCTATCGTTTTCCAACACAAGGTCTATTGATGGCACGGCTGCTCCTAAACGTGTTCTTCCGATGTTACTAAAGCTGAAACACACCTCAAATGGAGCCACACCAGCCACCCTGGTGATGTTCCAAGCAGCAGCTTCGTTAATGAAGGCCTCGGTGACGGCTTTGAAGATCGAAGCCTCGAGGACGGTGTAGGGATTCACGGTGCTGATCTTTGTGCCACCAACACCTTCTCTGTTGATGGACAGTAATGTCGTGTTCAGCGGGACGGGTTTTTCGTTCACTTTGATCGATTTTACGCCGATGAAATACTCAGCGGAGGGTTCGTCGAGAGGGAAAGAAGGGGCTGTGCTGATAGGGTTGATGAAGAGTGGTGTATAAGTAAGTGATTGTGATGCGTCAACTCCAGGGATGAACACATAGGGACCATCACTTAAGAAAATAACACCTCTGGCTGAGGTTGAAGATGAGAGACAAACGGCGAAATTTCTTCGGAAACTGAAATCGGCAGCGAATTGTTGAGGAAGCGCAATATTATACCGACCGAAACCCGCCATTCCGACTACCCCGCTAGCAAGGCCTTGAATGATGGAAGTTGTTGCACAAGCGAAAATGAACCTAGGCACAGTGACCACTAGGCCAGTGTTCCTTCCATCAGTTGAATTGAGAGACAAAACATCTTGAGCAACCTCACCAGGTCCGCCGCTGTTAGTCACGGTGTTATCGGGTCCGATAGAACATACGTTGCCTCCGCAACCATTGGCTCCAGCCAACGAGCATTCGGCGGAACCGCAGCTTGGACGACGTAACGTCGATGAAACATAACCCCGCTCGCAATCAACCCACAAGTATCGGCCACCGAGATCGACCACGACGTTTACGGAAACAAGGGGTGTCCTTTGGTTAAAAGTGGTAACGTACTGAAGTGTAGAGGGGTCTTTAGAGACCGGAAGCACCAGGGCCCTGGGACGGAACGACGGTTGGGCTAAACATGGAGAAATAAACAAAAGTAAGAGTAAAGTGAAGATAAAATATCGAAGAGAAGCCATGTTTGAGGTGAAAGGAAAATATGTAGTGGGGGAGTCGAAGAAGAAAACAAAGCTGAATTTATAGTTGTGGTGATGAGCTGATGTCGGTGGCGAGGCCGACAAGCAACTGCGAAGGGCCAAGAGAGTGCACCAATGGTCAAATCTGGCTGCTAAGAAGCAAAGCTAGCCACGCAGGTGCTATGGACGTGTTAACTGGACAATGACTTTTAGATCGTGTCCCACATTCTCTAGTTTGTTATCTCTCATTATTAATCATAGATTGATAGGCATTAATGTGAATATGATTTAAGTTTTTTTTCTTTTTATATATAATTATTGATTTTCAATAATTTAACCTATTAATCTAAATAGGGTATTACGAAAGCTTAATGTAGGGACGACTCTTCTCAGTGGTGGATGTATGTATCCTCCACGGTGGCACATACTTATTCCAAAATTTGAATTTCTTTAAATTAGTTGTTTATTTTATTAATGGTGTCTACCATGAAATTTTATTTATGTTCGTTCCATATAAAAAAATATATTATTAATACATTTATTATCACTCTGAAAAATATTTATGGATCTTTCATTAACTCTTCGTCTAATTTATTTCATTTGCACACATCAAGGTTTAAATTTCTGATCTTACTTAATAAATCTAATTTCTTATTGTATTTCATCAACTTATTGTTAATTAATTAAACTTATTATTAGAGCTTTTGCACTACTACCAATCTCCTTTTTTTCCTTCATTTATTTCTTGTAAGGAACAACTTCTATAACTTTCCTATAAACAATTTTAATAACTATCACATATGGTTAATCCGAGAGATTGTTGCCATCTTTAATCAAGCTTGGTTGGTTGACTTCAAGCTCATCAAAAGAGAAGCCGATATGATTAATGATTCCTTAACTAAGTTAGAAGGTAGCATTGTTGGCCAACATAAATTGTTCGACTCTCCTATTCAAATCGAGATGCTCTTTATACGTGATATCAAAGATCTCGGGATCGAACATCAAGAAGGTCAATAGTGTGAGAGTGTAATGTCAAATGATTGTGAGTTATCGTTGAACATATATTATTTTATACCTACACCAGATTAATCGTCAAGGGCATGCTTAATTATTCCAACTAGGCTCCTTATTATTCAAATAAATAATAATAATTAATTTTCTCATTATAAATGTTTCCTAAAGAGATAAATAATTAATAATAAAATTTCTTTTATTTCTATTAAGAGTGAATTAATTTTATTTTTTATATGGCATCATACACATATTCAATATTTTATTTTCAAATTTAGATTTTACTTTTTTGATATTTGTTGAAAACATTTTGATATTTCGATATAACAAACTAAGTTTAAATGAATTTTAAGATTTTACAAATGATTTTCTAAAGTATATTCGATTCAATTAATCGAATATCAAATTATTACCCCAAGTCTTTCAAGATCATTTCAAACCTTACTAAATGTGTAAAATTGTGTTTTATACTTAAACTATTTTTGAAACAATTTCCACAAAGTATTTTGAACCAAAATCAAGCCTAAAATCAAATTTTCAAAGTGATGCACCGATGCACCAATCCATGCATCGATGCACCATGGAATTAATTGAACATCAAATGCATTTTATGCATCGATGCACTCTTAGTGCATCGATGCACTGAGAGTCCAACGGTCAAAATATTTGAATTTTACACTGATGCACCGATGCACCTAGGGTATGCATCGATGCACTGACACTCCCAACTACTTTAATTAATTGTTTTCACACATAAACGACTCTATTGACTCCAATAATCATCCCAACGTTCAGAATCATTTGAAGGTGTATTTAAACAAGCTTAGAAGCCTTTGATCAATAACAAGAAACTTCAAGCAACTAGAATCAAGAGAGAATCAAAGAGAAAGCATCAAACCTCAAGTTTGAGCATTTCAAGCCTATTTTTCATTCAATATTCATTTTTCTTTCAAGAACACTACTTTTACTCAATTGTATTCATTTTTAGTGTTCTTTTCTTTGTTCTAGAATTGTGCAAACATTCTACCTTATGAGGATTTCCTTGTAAGTTTGCAAATTTGTAATCTTCTCTTTGAGAAAGAGTGTTCTCAAGAATTGGGGTATATTCTTGAGGGAGTTGTAAGGTTATCTCTTTGGCCTCAAAAGAAAAAACAAATTAGTGAATTTGTTGGAAAATCCTTAGTGTGGATAGCTAAGGTAGTGGACGTAGACTTTGATTGAGAAAGTCGAACCACTCTAAATCGCTGTGCAATTACTTTCAATTTTTTGTAAAAAGCTTCCACCAAAATTTTAATTACCAATTCACCCCCATCTTGGTTGATTACGTCGATCGATTAACTCAATAATTGGTATCAGAGCTTGACTCATTTGAAGGTTTAACCACCTCTTGAGTAGATCCGGGAAGAGTTACATCGATAATAAAAGTCATCAATGGCCACCACTCCAAACGTCAACTCCGGTCTCGATTCGATGCCCGTCAACAAGCCTCCTTTCTTCAATGGAGCTAACTATGGCTATTGGAAGAATATGATGATGTATTTCATTCAAGCCAGTGACATGGGAGCATGGAATGTTGTAGAAGACGGATATATCAAACCTCTCACTCATCCAAGATTGTGGAGTGAATGAGAGACGAAAATGTTCCAGCTCAACTCCAAAGCCATCCATATTATATTTTGTTCTCTTGGACCAGATGAATATGGAAGAGTTTCATCTTGTACAACTGCCAAAGAAATATGGGATACACTACAAGTCACTCATGAAGGCACCGACGAGATAAAAGAATCTAAAATTAGTCTTCTAACACATAGCTATGAAAATTTCAGGATGAAATCAAATGAAGATATCAAAGCTATGATGGATAGATTCTCAACGATTTTCAATGGTCTCAAATCATATGGAGAGATCATTCCAAACGAAAAGCTTGTGAGGAAGTTAGTTTACTCACTTCCAAAATCATGGCAATCCAAGAAGACCGCAATTATCGAGGCTAAGAACCTAAAGTCCTTAACTCTTGAAGAGCTAATCGGTTCCCTCCTCACTCATGAAATGATGCTTGAAGATGAGGTAGACCTCGATAAGATTGAAGAGACACCAAAGGAGAAGAAGAAGAAGAAAAACATTGGAGTTGCTCTCAAATCCACAAAAGAAGAGAGTGATTTAGGTGAAGATGACGAGGAAATGGCATTGTTTGCCAAACGGTTCAGAAAAATGATGAGACCTTATCGAGGAAGAAAATTCAAACGAAATGAAGGCCTCAAAAATAAACCAAAAGAGAAGGACCCGATCATTTGCTATGAATGCAAAAAGACGGGGCATGTCAAATTTGATTGCCCACAATTGAAGAGAAAGGGCAATCAAAGAATAAGCACAAGGCTCATGTGGCTACATGGAGCGATGAAGAAGGTTCCGATGAAGAGGAACAAGAAGTAGCAAACTTGTGCTTGATGGCATTCGGGGAGGATTCTAAGGTAACCTCTAACTCATCTGAATTTGATAATTTATCTTATGATGAGCTATTAGACGAATATAATGGTTTGGCTTCGGATTATGAGAAATTGTTTTTAAAATATAAAAATGATGTTTCAAAATTGAAAAAAGAAAATAAACTCATATCCAAAACCAACAACGATCTTGAAAGTAAAATCAAAGATTTGCAAATCAAACTAGAAGAGTTTTAAAAGAAAAATTCGGATTTGCAAAATTTACTTTCAAAGGTCAATGATGATCATCAAAAGAAAATTGATGATCTTAAAGCTTCTTTTGATAAAGTTGAAACAAAACATTTTGAAAAAGGAGAAAATTCAAAATATAACTTTGTTAGAAAAAAGTTTTAAAAACTACAATCATAGAGGTCCCCGAAGAACCTCTAATGGAAAAATCGTTAGAAGTATATGGGTTCCTAAAGGACTCATTACTACTAAAGATAAAGATATCCTACACAAATGGATACCTAAGGGGACTAGGATTTCGGAAACTAATGAATATGGACCCAAAAGAATTTGTGTACCAAAAATTAGAAATTAATCTATGTTTGTAGTAAAAGGAGCATTGCTACAAGGCATGGGAAACAAATTCAAATTCATGGTACCTTGATAGTGGATGCTCGAGACACATGACCGGAGACAAAAGCCGGTTCATTGAGCTTAACGCCAAAAATGGAGGAGAAGTGACTTTTGGTGATAACTCAAAAGGTCACATTGAAGGTATATGCACTATAGGTAATACCTCTTCCATACAAATTATGAATGTTTTATATGTGAACGGATTAAAGCATAATCTTTTGAGTATTAGTCAATTATGTGATAAAGGATTCAATGTCATGTTTGAAACCAATGGTTGTAAAGTTATTGACATTGCATCTAATCGAATTATACTTGTTGGTCATAGAATATGAAACATATACATGGTTCATTTAGACTCTATCGATATGACTAATTTATGCCTAGTTGCTAAAGATGAGCATGATAGTTGGTTATGTCATAGGAGACTAGGACATGCTAGCATGAGTGTTTTACAACGATTAATTCAAGGAGACTTAGTAAGATGGCTGCCTAAACTGAAATTTGATAATGATAAAATCTGTGATGCTTGTGCTAAAGAAAAACAAAAGCGAGTTTCTTTTAAATCCATTAATGATGTATAAACTAGTAGAGTATTACAATTGATCCATATAGATCTTTTTGGGCCAACTAGGACTACTAGCTTGGGTGGAAAACAATATGCATTTGTCTTGGTAGATGACTATTCTAGATATACTTGGGGTTCTATTCTTAAGTACTAAAGATGAAGCATTAGAAAAATTCATCACGTTTTCAAAAGTAATCCAAAATGAAAAAGGTTACTCTATAACTAGTGTTAGGAGTGATCATGGAACTGAATTTAAAAATCTTGGATTTAATGATTTTTGTAATTCTAATGGTATTAGCTATAATTTTTCAGCACCTAGAACCCCTCAACAAAATGGAGTTGTTGAAAGGAAAAATCAAACTTTAAAAGAAATGGCTAGAA